AGAGAGAGAGAGAGAGAGAGAGAGAGAGAGAGAAAGAGAGAGAGAGAAAGAGAGAGCAGCCATGATCCAAGACGCCCGCGCGGCACAACGCCTGACACCGCTGGGAACCACCGCTGCATGCCCTGCTAGCCAGCAGCTCCTCCGGCGACCTCTGGGCCACCACCTCGGTATGGCCCCCGCCCGCCCCCACCTCGGCCTAGCTGCTCTGCCTATGGCCCCGCCGGGGCCTGATCCGACGCCCTCTCCTGCGCAGCGCAGCGCCCCGCCGCCCCACCCCGCGAAGCACGGTGTCTCGGCCACGCACGGCGGCTCCCACTGGGGACGCCCGCCACGCGCTCGGCCCGGCTAGGAGAGGAACGGAGCCGCGCGGGTCAAGGGGCGTTGTCAAAGCCAATTCCAATCCACCAAGATCTCAGGGATACGGGGGCCTGGAGGCTGGTCTGACAGGTGTTCGCTCTTCTGCCCTGGGGCCTCCTCCGGGTCCGGTGGACACAGACTTAACGAAGGCTGACGCCAGGCGCCCTCCCTGCCCTAGCTCCTGGCGCTGGCACTGCCGCGGGAAAGCTCGCAGCCTGCCCCTCTGTGGGAGACTGGGGATGGAGTGACCTGCTGGAGGGCAGGAGAGGGGCCAGGTGCCAGTGTCAGGGCCCTGCGGCACGAAAAGGGGCTGGTGCCATCACTCAACATCCTCTTGTGCCATGCGCTCCGCCGCATGCCGTCCAGAGCGGGACAAAGAACCCAGGAGTCCTGGCACCCATCATTGCTGCTCTAAGCACTAGACAACACTCCGCTTGCGGAGCCATGGAGAGAACCTAGGAGTCCCGGCTGCCAGCACCTCCTGCTCTAACCACTAACCCCCACTCCCCACCCGGAGCCAGGCACACAACACATGCGTCCTCATTCCTAGCCACCCCCCAGAACACACTTGTCAGAGACACGGAGAGAACCCAGGAGTCCTGGCTCCTGGTCCCCATGTTCTAAGCACGCTCCCTCCCAGGGCTGGGAAGAGAACCCAGGAGTCCTGGCTCTCAGTCCCTCCCTGCTCTAACCACTAGACCGCATTCCCCTCCCAGAGCCAGGGAGAGAACCCAGGCGTCCGGGCTCCCAGCCCCCCCTGCTCTAACCACTAGACCCCACTCCCCTCCCAGAGCCAGGGAGAGAACCCAGGCGTCCTGGCTCTAAGCCCTAGTGAGTCCCTAAGGGGGTGGGGGGTGATGCTCTCCCTGGGGGGCTGGAGCAGGCCCAGGCTTGTGGGTCGGGCGGTAACAGGAGCAGTACTTGTGGGGGTCAAGTGCGGCAAAGCAACCTGATTGGCTTCCATCCATCGGGTAGCGTCCTGCAAGTGATTAAACTCGACGAAGGCGAAGCCGCGGCTCTGACCTGGAGGACAGCATTCAGATACAGACGCAGTGTGTTAGTCAACAGATCCAGCCAACATCACGCACCCTCTCGCTGCACCCCTGGGGCGGGGCCGGGGGCGCGGAGGGGGCACCCTGCCTGGACACGTGGGCGGGGGGCAAGGGCAGGGGAAGAACCAGCCACGCAGCCATGGGGCTGCTAGCACAACAGAGCCCTGGAGTACTGGCTCCCAGCCCCCCACCTCTAACCACTAGACCCCCCTCCCCTCCCAGAGCCGGGGAGAGAATCCAGGAGTCCTGGCTCCCAGCCCCCCACCTCTAACCACTAGACCCCACTCCCCTGCCAGAGCCGGGGAGAAAACCCAGGAGTCCTGGCTCCCAGCCCCCCCTTCTCTAACCACTAGACCCCACTCCCCTCCCAGAGCCGGGGGGAAAACCCAGGAGTCCTGGCTCCCAGCCCCCCACCTCTAACCACTAGACCCCAGCCCCCTCTCAGAGCCAGACCAGCTCCCTCTCCACTTGCCCATGCGGCCTCCCCAGAGCATTGCTCTCCCATAGGGAGAACGGGCTCCAGCCCCCCACCCTGCTGCTCAGGGTCCTAGGACCCGGCTCTGGTCACAGGCTCCCCATAGCACAGCACTCCTAGCGTCACGCTGGGGTACTGGTGTGAGCACGGCTTGCCAGGGCAGAGCACCCCCTGCAGAGCCCCCCGCCCTGCAGCACGGCACCCCCAGCGCCCGGCCCTGACTGCCAGTGAGCACCCCCTGCAAAGCCCCCCCGCCCTACAGCACAGCGCCCCCCCCCGTGCCCGGCCCTATCTGCCAGGGGAGAGCGCCCCCTGCCCAGGTCTCCCCGTTAAGCACAGGTTTTGCTCTGTCCCATCGCACAGATCCCCTTTGCCTTTAGCTCGGCCTGGCTGAGGGTTCCCAAGCTAGCCCCAGCTGAGCCGCGCAGCAGCCTGCTGGGGGCTGGGGGTAAGGACTCCAGTGGGTGCCTGCCCCCCGTCCCCCCCACCTCCGCTGAACGATGTGGGACAAACCCGCACCCAAGCCCCAGGCTCCAGATCCCAGCATGCAGTGCTCCAAGCACTGGGCCAGTGCATGCTGGGAAACATCTCTGCAGGGGGCTGTGCCTTGAGCTGCGGGGGCCGGGGGAGGCGCTGAAAGTTGGGCTCCGCTCCACAGCGTCCCTGTGAGGCCTGGCACAACACAGGGCTAATGCAGAGAACAAAATATCCATATCTACACACCCTGCTTTGGAAGGTACGAGGACACTGGCTCTGTGTGTGTGTGTGCGTATGTGAGTGAGTGAGTGTGCGACACACACCAAGGAAATACCTTCGAGACAACAGCCAACTCACCTGTTCGGCCCAGCCCATCCTGGCCACGCGCTCCCCAGAAGGGCTGGCCCCGTGCCGGCGTTCCCTAGCGCCGGCTCTCTCTGGGAGCAAACCGGCCCGCAGCAGAACCCAGCCGCGGCCTCTAGCATGGCCTCGGTCCAGCCAGGGTTCGCGCCCAGCAAGGAGAGGGCGGGGGGAGGGGGGGCACGCGCCTGGCCGAGGATTCCTCCGCGCTCCCTGAGGACAGGGAGAGAGAGCAGCGAGGGCGGGATCCGCCTGCAGACTGACCGAACCGGCCCTGCGGGCAGGGGTCTGGTACCAGCCAAAAGCCTAGTGCGGGCTGGGAAGCCGGCCGCACCAGGGCCTGGGCAGTTTCTGCTAGCGAGAGAGACACACCGAGCGCGCGCGCCGCAGGGGGATCCACCGCGGGCTCCCAGCCGGAAAGGGGGGGCAGGAGGCAGAACTGTGAACAGACGCTCACCTGAGGCTTTGTTCCGCATCAGCCGCACCTCGCGGGGCTGGATCCCGTGCGCCTGCAGCTGGGCCCGGATCTGCGGGGGGAGCACATGGTAGGAGCACAGTCAGCACTGTCCACCTCCAGGGTGCAGACAAGGGGAAACTGAGGTAGAAGGCGCCACTCATGTGACATCCTGCAGCTGATCAGTGGAAAAGCAGCTCCCAGCACCCTCCCTTCCTACAACCACTAGACCCCACTCTCCTCCCAGAGCTGGGGAAAAGAACCCAGGCGTTCTGGTTCCCAGCCCCCCTCCCAAGCACTAGACCCCACTCTCCTCCCAAAGCCGGGGAAGAGAACCCAGGAGTCCTGGTTCCCAGTACCCTCCCAAGCACTAGACCCCACTCTCCTCCCAAAGCCGGGGAAAAGAACCCAGGAGTCCTGGCTCCCAGCCCCCCTCCCAAGCACTAGACCGCACTCTCCTCCCAGAGCTGGGGAAAAGAACCCAGGCGTTCTGGTTCCCAGCCCCCCTCCCAAGCACTAGACCCCACTCTCCTCCCAGAGCCGGGGAAGAGAACCCAGGCGTTCTGGTTCCCAGCCCCCAACACCCAGACCTACGTCGTTCTCGGAGGCGGACTGGGGCAGCATTCTCAGCATGACGATGCTGCTGGCCTTCTGCTCCTCCTCTGGCTCGGGCCGGTAGTCCTGGTCACGGTAGTCCCCGTCGCCGGGGTAGCCCAGGTGCTCGGTGGGGCTGTCCCGCTTGCGTTGAGTCTCTGACCCCGAGGAGGCCTCGTAGGAATCCTGGTGGGAGAGGACAGGGTCAGGACAGCCCGGCACTCGCGTCCCGTCCCGTCCCCACCCCCGGCAGAGAGGCCCACCCAGCCCACAAGGCTACAGCCCCCGGGGCCGGAGCCCACCTCGGCGCTCTGCTCCTCGGATGAGTCGTACTCGTTAGCGGCCTCATGGCTGCTGAAGTCGCGGGGGTACGAGCGGTAATCCATGTCCCGGTAGTCGTGGTCTCGCTGGGTCCGCCCGTCCACGCCGTCGTCCTGGGACCGGTCAGCAGCACCATATCGGCCCGTCCGGTCCCCGCGGCCACCTCTGGGGGGAACAAGGGGTGTAGGTTCAGCACCATGGGCTTGTAGATCAATCTCTGATAATTTTCATATGACTTTACATTGTGCCTCTTCATATAACCTTGTGGTGGGTCTACCCACGTGTGACCTCTGTTTTCATGGAACTTTGTATCAAAGCCTCATTTAAAAACTTTGCATTGCCCTTGGTATAATATTATAGCCCCTAAGGATAGAATAAGATAGAAGAAAAATTTCTTTTTGCTAGCAGTAGAACAAGAGCTCCCCCCCCCCCCACCCTTAATCAATTGCCCTGTTGAATGAATGAGGTGTGGATGAGCAAGGCATGAAA